AGTGGGATTGCTGGATCGAATGGTATGTCTATTTCTAGCTTTCTGACGAAGTGCCATATGATTTTCCAAAATGGTTGTATCATCTTGCATTCCCACCAGCAGTGCGTAAGAGTTCCGATCTCCCTGCAGCCCCTCCAACATTTGTTATTTCCAGTGTTTTTGATTCGTGCCAGTAATGCCGGGGTGAGATGGTTATCTGTTTCTTTTAAAGTTTGCATATAGTATAACCCTCATTTGTAAAAGTGCATATGTGCGTATGAGTGTATATATGTGAGAGAGAGAGAGAGAAAAAAGAGAATTCATAATATATGACCAAATAGTAGAACTAGTAAGTCAATACATTAATGGATGCTATCATCTCTGGTGGAAGGGAATACATATGATTTTTGCAATCTTATACAAACTTTCCTATACTTGACATTTTCTATAATAAAAGTGATACAATAAGAGAAAAGGATAAAGGAGAGTTTTTCAGTGTATATGGCTTGGCTAGCCCCAAAGTCAGTGGGTCAAGCATGAATGCAAAAGAATGTTTGAGAAATTAGAGTAGGAAGAAAGGCCCAAGTTCTGTTTGGTTTTGAAGACTGGGTGAAGGGGGATGGTCGGTGGATGCTTAGGAGAATGAGAGTCTGGAAATACTCATGCTATTCCTGCTTTGTTCCCACAGGTTCCAGCTGACTCGGCTGTAATCCGCCTGCAAGACAGGATCGGCAAACTGTGGTGGGAGTTGTGCCCAGCAGGTGTGTTCTAACACTGACCCCTCACCCTTCCACCACCGGTCTCCATGTTCTTTCACTCTTCTGTTTCCTGCAGTTCCTGGTTCTTTTATTCCACAGCATGTCAGGCACTGTACTAGTGGAGGGCAAATGACCCCCGCCCTCATAAAGCTTTCCTTCTGAGATGGTATTGAGACAAAAGATCAACGTGATAGTCAGAGGGGCATGATAAGCGTTGTGAAGGATAATAGAGGACATGTGAGACAGTGACAGGGTCTCCCTGGAGTGGTGATTTGGGGCTGAAATGCAAAGATGGGCAGGACTCACAGGTGCCATGAGCCAAGCCAGAATGCTGTGGAAGAGGGACAGCAGGAACAAGGGCCTCAGGGTGGCAGGAGCTTGGGATGTTTAAAAAGGCAGGAGGCAACTAGGGAGAGTGGAGGGCTGTGAGGTCAGAGGGCCAGGTGGGTCCAGATTACACAGGGCAGGGGGATTGGGTTTTATTTTGTGAGTAAGGGAAGTCCCTGAGAAGTTTTATGCAGGGGACTGACAGGATCTGGTGTGTATTTTTAAGTGCTCACTCTTGGATTGAAGGGGGGCAAGAGTAGCAGCAGATAGAGAGACTTCTATGGATTATTGTGAAGTGGGAGGAACAAGATGTAAAGCAGTATGTATCAACACAGGCCATGTATGCTATGTGATTGTTTGTCTATGTTTATATATGATCATGTGCGCATAGAGAAAAGTATCAGGAATCACGCCTGTAGAGGTTGTTGATCTTGATTTTGCCTCACGCATTTCTTTCTTTCCCCGCTTACGTAAGTTAGGAATTGACATTTCCTGTACATGGACTTCCAGAGTTGGCAAGTGCTGTGTTTTTTTAAATCCTTTTTATGAATTTGCATTTCCTTACTTTTCCTTTGTGTATTTTAGAAAACCTCTGGTACCCTTAGCATCAGGGCAAGCCCACTTTGGACATGACGTGTGCTAGTCAAAGTGTTGGAGTACAGAGAGGGAAGACCCTAGCCCAAAACAAACACAGAAACGCACTGAAGAAGCAGGAGAGCTTCAGGCACCTATTGCTGTGGTCCATATAAGAAATGGCTGTGGTTTGAACTAGGGTGGTGAGCAGAGCTGTAAGGAGAATAGGATTGACTCAGGACACATTTTGGATAGAGCTGTTAGAACTTGCCAATGGATTACATGTGGGGAGTTGAGGGCAAGGAAGGTAGGTATCAAACAGGAATGCTCAAGTTTGTCCTGAGTCTCCAAAAGAATGGTGTATGGTCAGGGCTAGTGGTACACATTTGGGGATGTCAGCACGTACATGGTCTTGGAAGCCCCAGTACTGAGCGGGTCATGCAGGAGGAGACTACAGATGCTAGAGAGGTGAGGGTGCAGGACTGAGCCCAAGAGGACTCCCGACATGGAGACGCCATCCAGGGAGATTGGGTCAGCAAAAGGACTGAGAAGGAATGGCCATGACATGGAAGGCAGAACTCATGTCATGGTAGGTGAGAGAATACTTCAGTCTAGAGGGAGTGGTCAGCTTAGCAAATACTGCTGAACTGAGAAATCAAATCTCTCAGATTGCATTTCTGTTATTCTGAATGGGGTCAAGGATCTTTTCATGAGGTAGTGGTCACTTGTGTTTTATTTTCTATGAGCTGTCTTTTCAGTGTTTCTATTAAGGTGTTATATTTTTATGACTGAGTTGTATGAATTTTTTTAGATTAAGGAAGTGATGCTTTTAAGTGGGATATGTGTTGCCAGCATTTTCTTCTAATTTTTTTTTTTATCTCTGCTGTGAATTCTGCCAGTTTTCTTCTTAATCTCTATACAGTTGAGTTTATCCAACTTTTACAACCTCTTGTCATATTGAGAGAGTCCTTACTCTCCTCAAAATTGTAAGAAAAATTTCTCAGATTTATGTGGAGTAGTTTTATGGTTTTGTATTTTGTAATTAAGTGATTGATCCATCTGGAGTTTATTTTCTTATAAAGAAAAAGTAAGGGAGAAACTTTACTGTTTTCCAGCATTTTTTTAGTTGTCCTAGCACCATTAATTGGATTATCATATTTTTTTCACTGATATGAAATACCATAATCATTCATTATTAAGGAAGTTTTTAAAGGTTGAATGTTTTAGGGTATCTTTCAATAATAATAAAAATGAATTAGGATACTCTTGTAGGCAGCAGGGATGGATCATATTTTTTTTCATTCATTCTTCCAATCATTGCATTTTATCCAGAGAAACTTTAATCCATTTTCATTTAAATTAATTAATGATAAGGAAGGATTTCTGTCATTTAGCTATGTATTTTCTCTATGTCTTATATGCTTTTTGTTCCTCAATTCCTCCATTACTGCCTTTTTTTTAAATTGTACTTTAGATGAAGGTTTACAGAACAAATAGTTTCTCATTAAACAATTAGTACACATATTATTTTATGACATTGGTTAACAACCCCATGACATGTCAGCACTCTCCCTTCTCCACCTTGGGTTCCCTAGTACCACCTTTCCTGTCCCCTGCTGACTTCTGGTCCTTGTCCCTGGGATGTTGTGCCCCATTAGTCTCATTTTGTTTTATGGCCCTGTCTAATCTTTGGCTGAAGTGTAAACCTCAGGAGTGACTTCATTACTGAGCTAAAAGGGTGTCCAGGGACCATACTCTCAGGGTTTCTCCAGTCTCTGTCAGGCCAGTAAGTCTAGTCTTTTTTTGTGAGTTAGAATTTTGGTCTATATTTTTCTCCAGCTCTGTCTGGGACCCTCTGTTGGGATCCCTATCAGAGCAGTCAGTGGTGGTAGGAAGGCACCATCTAGTTGTACTAGACTTAGTCTGGTAGAGGCCGTGGTAGTTGTGGTCCATTAGTCCTTTGGACTAATCTTTCCCTTGTATCTTGTTTTCTTCATTCTCCCATGTTCCCGAAGGGGTGAGACTAGTGGAGTATCTTAGATGGCCAGTCACAGACTTTTAAGACCCCAGACACTACTCTCCAAAGTAGAATGTAGAACATTTTCTTTATAAATTACGTTATGCTAGTTGAGCTAGATGTTCCCTGAGACCATGGTTCCCACAGTTTGGATTTGTCCATGGAGCTTCCACGACCTTACCCTGAACAAGTTGTGCTGGCTTGCCTAGTATTGTGTACTGTCTTACCCTTCACCAAAATTTACCACTTACCTATTGTCTATTTAGTGTTTTTCCACCCCTTCCCCTCCCCTCCCTCATAACCATCAAAGTTTGTTTCTTTTCGGGTGTAAACCTTTTCATGAGTTTTTACAGTAGTGGTTTCATACAATATTTGTCCTTTTGTGATTGACTTATTTCACTCAGCATAATGCCCTCCAGATTCATCC